GAAGCTCAAGCTGTACAAAGCTGAGCCTAGGAGAGAAAATTGAGAAAATTCAATTTGCTACATTTCGTCTTCTAGACTCAAGTTTGGGAAATATCTCCTTCATAATGAAAACCGAGAAAACCACTTTCTTAAAGATAATTTTCAATTTTTCACCACAAAGGAAGAATTTCCCAAGCTTGAGTTTGGAACAGAAAGTGTAGCAAATTTAATTTTGCTAAATTTTATCTGCTAGGCTCAGCTTTGTACAGCCAGATCTTCAGGATGAAAGACACTAAAAAACGTTTTTTAGTCTGAAGACCGGTTGCTAGAGACCCAACACCAACACAAAAATTTTAGAAAATTAAATTTCCAACATTTCATGTTCCAGATTCAAGTCCAATAAATGGACTCATGGTTGAATTGCCATTGATCAGATTCACCGGGATATTGGTGTCTGGGGCTTAGATGCCAGTACATTCAATCCAGATCGTTTCAAGACAAATCTCAAACAAGATCAAAAAAATAATTATTTGCCGTTTGCCGATATAAGTCCAGTTCGTCACAGATATGCATATCTGTTAAAACAGAACGCCGAGTTTTACATTTCTATACAGGATATCGTTAATAATTTCGTCAATATGTCCTATGTTAATTAGCAGTAATTTTGCTTCATTAGATTGAAATCAATACGACGTAAAGTGCGCATTGCATGAAATTAGTCTACAGTAGGAACACGATAAGCAATGCCGAAATGATATTGGAAAAACGCGTTTCTATATGTTGAAACTAGTGGAACAGTTATATATACATTACCGCGAAGACTCGTTTATTGGAAAAATAATTTATTCGAAGAAATAAAAGAAAAATACGTAGTACTTATGATAGTTTTTATATGATGATGCTTTTAGATCTGCTGTTTTCTTCCTTCTGTATAAGAAATATTCATTTATTTCAACGACTCCTTCATGATTGAGACCGAACTTTCTGATGCATTAAAATGAGTAGTATATACGAAGAAGTGACACGATCACTCAAGAAATGGAGATTGTTTTTCTTTACTAATTTTTATTTTATTTGATCGCACGCTGTGTTTCGCCTGTTGTCTTGCTCTATGAGACTAACAATCAATATCTTACACAGTCATTCGATTGCGTTTATTACCGAGGCAATACATCTTCTTTTAAGCAGTCGATTGAATACTGTATTCAGCTAGAAAACTATACACGACTGGACCGGACCTATGCGCATGGTTGCCGAAATAGTGGATCACGATTTACATTTGAAGAACTCGAGCGACTGAATTTAACATACATTGAGTTGTTGTCATGGAGCTCAAGCGTTGATGCTGTCGATCGGTACTAAACTTATTTAAACAGAAAGTAAGATGGTCTTTCGACGCCAGGTGTCGAAAGTGGACTTCCTTCTCTCTGTGTGAGTATAGATTAAATCAGATACTAATTGATTGTTTTCGTCATTCTCGCCAACATCGAAAAATTCACACATCTTTGCAACTGTTAGATCTGGTTCTTTATCACAAGTGTCATAATAAAAATTGTAAAGTTGATGAAGAGTAAGAAGTGTATTTTTTTACACGCCGCCCTTGCAAACGGAATTACAATAGCCCTCCAAAGAATATTGTATCACACTTAGGGGAAACCACGCGAGTTCACGAAGCCAAGGTTAAGTGATGAAAAAAACTCTTAGTTGATTCAGTCCTAATCGGATAATGCATCCGCCTACTAAAGCCTGGAGTTCAGACATCATTAACAACCTGTGCTTAAGGAAAAACCTCAAAAAAACCACGGTTTTCGAAAAACCTCTATCTCCGCAGGGAAATATTTTTGCTAAGTATATAGTCGTCTCAGATATAGAAGAGCATTTGCTGAAACTTTCATTGAAAACGGAACTTGGGGCTACACATTCTTGTTTAGATCTCTTTGTCGAACACGACGTTCTTATTTCTCCAAATCAATAATGTTGTACTCATCATTTCATGTCAGACAGATTAGATCCAGATTTAGTTATTGATTCAAACTAGTTTGAAGTAGCTACTCTTTCAAACAACCGGGCAGCTCAGTTGATAATGGAAATGAAAGCAGAAAATAAAAGAAGTCGATCGAAACCTCTTTTGAACTTGGAAAACCCTTTCATTGGTGATAAAGAATTTACGAGTTGAACAAGAGATAATTTACAATCAGTGTTATCAATCATTCATAGTTTAAATTCAATGAGTGACAGTAAACATAAGTCAATCTCTGCTGCTTTAATTATGTTTTGGATAAAAATGAAGTATAGATGGTAATATTAATTGAGGATGGAACGTACTTCTATATCTACAAAAGCAGCGATCATGTTCTCAAAAGAAGACGTATTCTGGAGAGAAGAAAAGACACTTATTAAAAATGATGTCAATGATGTTGCTACATGTATTGGGTTTGATCGGTTCTTATGGTGGCTCTAAAAATGATGCGTCCGTTACATAGCACATTACAAAAATCCATCAACAATTACAACAGTGGTGTCAATCAGGCAACAAAGTCATCATTGACCGAGGATTCGATCGTGCGAGAACAAGTTTAGAAGATTTAGGTTTAGAAGTCAGGATACCATCATTTTTGAAAGGAAAACAACACATACTTGTGAAGAAGCTAATCAACCTCGTCTCATCACGAAAGTTCGCTGTGGAGTTGTAATACATCATGGACGTTTGAGGAAGTTTCTTTTCCTTCAACAAACAATTCAAAATTCGTTAATTGAAAAAATTGGTCCGTGTGTTAGAATACTGCGGCGGCGCTCAATGCTTTCCGTCGTCCTCTGTTTTCCATGAATAACGTACAAAAACAAGAACAAATGGCAAGAATAATGAAAGTTCGAGCAGAAAGCAACAACATGTTGAAAGAAAAAGTGAAAAACAAACTGTTGAATTCACGATGTAAATGGGAAAAGTTAGATGAAACTCAAAGAGAATTCCCTCACTTGCCAAAAGGTCAATTAAGAGAACTGTGTTTCTCTTAATAAAAATCAAAACCATTTTGATTTTTACGTTTGAGAGAATATCGATAACCGAGGTAACATAACTGTCTTTTGCCATGTGTAGATGCAACAAATTCAGCAAACATTATTAATACGTCTTCTGACTTACCAGACATTATTAAAACAGTGTGAGAAGAGAGTGGTATATCTGTACCTTTTATACATACTTTTATAAAGGTTATCATGTTATCACGACTACTCTACTTCCCAAATAAGTATTAGAAATTAATCAATTTGGTTCATCATTCCCTTATTGATGAATGTTTGTTCTGCTTGGAAATTTATTCGTTGTCGCAATGAATATTCATTTGCTCATTCATTGCTTTTGGTCCAAATAATTAGTGGAAATTAAATCGTTATATAAAAAAGTGGCTAATTGAGACATATTTCTATATAATCAACGGAAAGTAAATCCGTATATAAGAAAATTATACTTTTCTATGAAAAAAAGCTAATTAAAATAGAAATTAATCAACTGACAGTAAATCGTGTAAACCAAATGTCCAACAAACGCCATGTGTTTTCTCTTATTCTTATTATGTATTCAGTGCGCGACAAAAGTTTTACCCACAGAAGAAATGATTTATTTCACCTTTAGGAAAGGCATTGGAACTCATTTGATAACTATAATATACATTGCTCTTAGACATTTCAGCACTTATGCAGCTTCTGTATTATTTGTGTTTTTCGTTTTAGATTCGACAAATACTAATTCACGCAAAAATGCGCCATTTAACGAAAGAAGAGTGTTTATGTGCTGTCAAGGAAGCACAAAAACCAAATAAAAAATTAAGTACGATTGCACGTGCACTTAAGTGTGACCGTAGAACAGTTAGTCGTGTTCTGGTGCGCTTCTCGGAAACAGGATTATTAACCGATCTGGATCGACCAAGTCGGCCAACTGCTCTTACTGAAGACCAGTAAAAGATGTTAGACAAGTATATCACAAACAACCCAACTGCAACGGCTAACAAACTTTCTAACCGTCTTTGATGAGTTTGGCAGTCGAGTTAGTGGACGCACGTTGCAACGATATCGTTGTGCTGTCGACTTTTGTCCGAGAAAGCAACAAGTCAAAGTAAAATCAACTGAAGGTCAAATCGAAAAACGACATTTTTTTGCACTAGAACATCAAATTACTAACATCAAAAAGTGGATTTTTATTGATGAAACTCAAGTGCAATTTACGTAACTTAGGTACAATTGCGTGGGTGAAGCTTGGTGAGCCAACACCGGTTCATGAAATTTCTTCTCTTCGTGCTTATGTCAATTTGTGGGGTGCAGTCTGGTGGAATGGAAAAACGTTTGCAAGGTATGATGGTTACATGAACCAAACGCAATATCTGCATATATTAGCTTCTCATCTTGGTCCACATGTGCATAAGTGTCGTCGTTATGCTGTAGCTCAAGACAGATTAAGGTCACACTGGGCAAAACCGGCTCGTCAATGGTTTGAAGATTGTGGGCTTCGATTATTAGACTGGCCGCCTCATTCGCCTGAATTTAATGCCATTGAATACGTGTGGCACTGACTCAAGGAAGCAGTGAGATTGGCACAGCCAAAAACTCAAGCGGAGTCAGACGCAGCTGTCAGTGAAGCCTGTCTTCTCATTTTGCAAAAGTTATCCAAGGATGCATTTCACACATTTCTACTTTACTCAAATAAGAAGCAAGTAGTTAATAAAAAGCGATGTGTTTATTAAATGTCTAAAATTGCTCTGTCGTTCTACATATTGAACTCTATTTTCATGTGTTGAAATAAAGAAAAACATTTGTCTCAATAGGGGCGAAACTTTTGTCGCGCACTGATTGCTTACTGTTTGAAGCACAGCTGTAAACAATTATACGTTTTCTTTCTAGATGGAACTTTAAAAATGATTCTTATATATTACAATAATTAGACAGAAAATAATTTTAGGATTTTGTTCAATAAATTTCATCAAAATAATCTAAATTATTAAAATATGAGTGATTATTACAGCAGACCTATGTTTAGCGTAAGTTTTTTTTGAGAAACGCACTTAAGCAGAAATATAGGTGTTCCTTAAGATCATCATCACCCGTTTACTTTGCGCTTCCACTGAAAAAAGTACAAAAGAGTAATAAGTGATGGTTTATCAAAAATCATAAAAGAAATACAATTCTAATGGAGCTTTAGATTACTATCTATGCTTCAATTTATCATGCTAAAAATGAATTTTCTTTTTCTATATCCATTTATTTTAAATTTATTAAGTTTACTAATAAGTAAACTGATTTTCTTGGAGATTACCTTGCCCATAGTTTCTCGAAAAGGAAGCATTTTGAAGCAAACGTGTGGCTGAAAAAGTTGTTCAGAATGCCATTTTCTATCGGATAAGACTTTATTGGCTCGAACTTTCTGGCTTTCTCTTCGGGTCGTGATGGTTTGATAAAGTGTTAGCGAATTACTAACCATACTTGTCTTGTTCTCTGTGTATTACGCTAACCAGTAAGCGTCAAGTAAATTTAATATGAGGAGATTAAAAGCGCGATAATCCGAGAAAGAGTGAAAAAACACGAAATAAAAAATTATTTTTGTAATTTGGCTATGTTATACATGCTACCAAGATTAACTTGAATTAGATTTACAGTTCCCCGTCCAGATGATCCAAGTGTTTTAACGGCTAAACTCTTTTTGACTACAATGACTTTCCGACTTTCACTTCTGCGCATAATAATCAGAGATAATGTGTGCTCAGACTTTGCTTATTCAGTGAATATAATCATATTAATTTTTTTTGGCCCAGATTTTATGAAGTATTTTATCGAGTCTTGAAGAGAAATCCAAATTTGATCCTTGCATAGATCACCATAGTAACTTGGAGGGGACAGACACATTTCATTATCAACAAAGAGACCTTGATGGGAATCTTTTTTCGGACTAAAACATGGAGAAGAGGGTTTATTAACTATTTTAGAAACGGAAAAAAGGATTTGTAATTGGTTGCAAATTTTAAAACTTTTATTTTTTTTACAGTGTACTAGTTGAACGCCCCTATTCTAAAATATTGTATTACAAATAATTTTTCTGCGAAGACTGTTTTTATGGCGATCAAATCAGATCAATTACAGTCAATTCAGAACGGTGTATTATTGATCGATTGCAATCGATTTCCTGGATTAATGGATTATAACTGATCAACGCCACGCTGAATCGATTGTGGACGGTTATCTGATTATCGATTATGACCATTTTCTTCACTTAGTCAATTTAAAACAATGTAGTTTTCGTAATTAATCATAATCGAGTGTCAGACAATCAGAATGAATCGATTTTGATGTCTAGAAAAGATTTTTATCCATTGAGAACTGAAATACTGATGGTAATCGATGAGAAACGTCATATTCCTTGATTGATGAACTAACTTAATTATTGATACCTTAATTAAATGCTACAATTTCTACATAGGAGTCATATGCAACTGCACCTTGTATCATCAAATTCTGTATCTAATCCGTATTCTCTAACTATTGTGTCATTCGATTCATCTACCACAATAACCCATCGTAATATTTGTGCTGGATCTTTAACACAAAATTCATCTCGATCATCATTTTCATGATTATAATAAACTGTATCAAAATCTGCCCACCATGTATTTGAGTTACCAACTGTGTGTAATTGATTATGTTTTACTTCTTTTACACGACCCATTCGAATTTGTGCACAAATCAATGCGCCACTAAACCTGGCTTTGCCTTCAGTTCGTGCAATTGAACGAGCAAAATAAACGCCAAAACCAAGCATTTGTGGTGCCGTCATTGATGGGCGAAAATCACTGTGGGTTATGAGAACAGCTGATTGTGCAGTCGTGCGATGAAAACCAACATAAGTCATCGCTTCATCTGGTGGTAATAGTCCCCAACGTTCTTGGGGTTTATAATCATCTAAATGAAATATGAGCAGATGTTCTAGGCGCCGATTTGGACATTTGACAGCAGAATTCGTTGAATCACATGGTTTGTTGCCCATATGCATATTATTTCGATTTTTACCAACCAAATGATATGGAATATATCGAACATGCTTATGTGATAGGGTGCGTCTAGATAAATTATCGCATGAGGGTTGGTAGTGCCACCACACACGATACTGATAGAAGTCGAGAGCAACAGCTAGTGACGGAAATATCAACGAGAATGTGCAAACAACAGCTAATCCTACTTTAGGTCCTTGTGATTTCGATGTAGCATATAGAATGATGGCAAGTATGCGTAGGAGAATACTGAAGAGTAAGAAAGTCAATCGAATAATAAAACGAAGACGTGGTCTAGGGATATAGAATGGACAATTGCAGTTCAGTGCAACAAAACGATTCATTGGTCGACTACATAAAAGATATTGTGCACAAGTCAGTGTCAAACTGGTATCATCCGTCGGTCGAACTTGATTATCACTTTCACAACATACATGATACAGAGTTCTTAGTACAAATACCAGTAGAATGAATCCAACAATAATACCCATCAATGTTGGTGCTAATGAACCAATCCAATCGAGTATGAAACCAGCAGTCATGATTGAGTCAGGTTTCTCTTCCTTCAGAGGTGAAGCTGACGTGGAAAAGTAGCTTGCCAGGCGAATTATACCGAAGATGAGTTCACCGATAGCCAATAGTATATACCATGTTGGTAATCGTCTGTAACAGCATGAGTCGTAGCACATATTTACTGACTAAAAGGAAAACATTTTCAGCGCAATCTCCGCGCTATTAAAGTGTGGAACACGATTGAGGCGCTCCACACGGACATGAAGATGCTTGCTATATCCAGCCCGATTCGTCACAAGGCCAAGGGAGAATTACCTCCAAGTGTCTGTGACGATCTGTGATAGGGACTAATATGCTGCATCACGAGCAAATAGGTTTTCTGGATCTCGGGATTTTGAATGGAGTCAAAATCTATTAAAACATCCCATGAGAACCTGAAACTCCATGGTTCGAAAATCCAATACAGCGTTTCCATATGTCTGCCATGGCCTGTAGGAGGCAAGAGGACAGATCTAAGTTTCTCGGTATATACTGTACTGTTCGATTGGCTTTCTTACTCTTCAGTATTCTCCTACGCATACTTGCCATCATTCTGTATGCTACATCGAAATCACAAGGACCTAAAGTAGGATTAGCTGTCATTTCCACATTCTCGTTGATATTTCCGTCACTAGCTGTTGCTCTCGACTTCTATCAGTATCGTGTGTGGTGGCATTATCAACCCTCATGCGATAATTTATCTAGACGCACCCTATCACATAAGCCTGTTCGATATATTCCATACCATTTGGTTAGTAAAAATCGAAATAATTGCGACAAGTCAGTTATTTCCGGGGGACTTACTAAAAAACCTGTAGAAACCTAGAATGCAGATCTTACTGTCATGCATTCTGACAGCAAACATCTTAGACTATCCAATAATGTACTTTGCTCAATAGTGACTCTATTACAAAAATTTCGTATTTTTGAGAAGAGGACGTTAAAATTTGTATACGTTAATTTTGTTAATACGATCAAAGAAAAGAAAAGTAAATGAAGTGTGTGTTGATATCTGTTGCTATATATACTGTAATATACCGTAAAAACATCCAGCGGAGCCGCCGAATACAAAAATGAGGGAGGCAAAGGATTTTGGTTGGTCTTGGCCCGAAGATTTGGAAGTAGTGGGAGAGAAATCAACAAACCCCTATTATGCTACTCCAACGAGAAAAGCACCTCCTACCACGAGAATTATGCATCTCTTCATCGAAACTTCTGTTCTAAAGGTTACCAGGAATCATGCAGTGTCTGGCATGATTCCTGATGATTGAAAGCTTCTTTAGAGTATATAAGTAGACTTTGCTTGGTTTTTTTGAGTGAACTTTGAGTAAGTATAGTCCTCTTTTGTTACTTAGTTCCACAAGAGAAATCATCCTAAATGGCAATTCTGTACACTACAAGCAAGCAATGACAAGACTAGAGATCAACTATAGAGATCAAAGGTTACCGCTTGCATTTTCCTTCCTTTTGTTATTATAGTTTTCATTTTCCTTTTATGCACACGTCAATAGAATATGGGATAAACCAAGAGAAGAAAAACTTCCTATGTTATCCTGGAAATCATCCATCTTTAGCTTTCCAAAAAATAGTAAACAGTAAGAGTTTAGCCGATACTTTGTCAGTTTCACGAAGTAAAATAAATTAATTAGATAGTATCCGCTTCTAACTTTTATCGCAACTGACACAATAAATGTTCGTTATGATGACAAACTATTTTAACTTTCCAACAAAAGACTATTATATATTCGAGCACTGGTATTGAACATGATCGATATTGAGATGCACTCAGACGAGTTTCTCGTGATCGGGATAGAAAGTACGTCTACATGCGTTTGAAACCTTCTTTTCATCTGGAGTAAAAAACTAGACACGTTTGCGCGCGATTGAGAAAACGGTCAAAATTTGTTCGAAATTGGGCGTGTACAGGCGCTTCAAACATTAGAAAATTGGAAACGTCTCGATCTTGAGATGTACATCTGGCCGCGCCTTTTTCTCTTTCATGGAAAAAAATCGTCTGAATGCATCTATCAATAAAAGTTTTGGTTTACAATGAGTTAGCAGCTTTGAACCATGCGTGGATGCGTTTATTTTCTCGAAAAGCTCGTTCATTCGACATACAAAAATGCATCTAGATGGATTCTTTTTTAATCGAAATTAACAATTTACATCTAGGCACATCTGAGCCCGAAGGCACCTAGACGTTTTTTAATATATCGATATAAGAATGAATGCGTACAGACGTTCGTTTCTATGTTAAAACTTTCCAGTGGGTTTTATCGCGATTTTGTAGCGTGTTTTCAACTCTACAAAATCCGGTATAAATAATATCTTCACTATATTTCCTTACTGATTTAAAATACTTTTTCAACTCATGTCGGTAAATGGTCAGGCTTTTTAAAAACTATATTTTTTGAGAAATGATCATAGTTTCAAACCAAAAACTATATATGAGTAGATGCGCAATAAAGTTCTCTATCGAACCTGCTATTCGGCTTTGTGATACTTTCACAGTTTTAAATCCAGCAGGATCCTTTATTTCTGGCGCTGATACACGTTAAGAAAATGAGCATAGCGAAGAAATCATTGTTCGACTTTCGTGCTAGTGAAAATATTTGACCTCCAGTTCGGGTTCAAAAATTTCTCACTTAGCAACAGTAGTATATTTGGATAGAGCTAGTCGAGTTACGTATCACGCACTATGTAAATATTTTCAGCTGCACCGATAAGTAGTAAGTATCTTCTGATGCTTTAAACATTTATCATATGCGCACAGAATATGCCTTTTGTATATTCATGTTGAATGTGGTATCTGTCGAATATTTTGTTACTGAATAGGCAAAGGCTTTACTAGCGACGAGTCTGAAATGCGATGGTATATGATTATTCACAACTCTCAAATTGTTTTGATCCTAATTTCCACCAGAAAAGCATTTATAAACTGTTTAGAGATCACATTTATAAATACTGTGAACGTTGCCATAACCATTTTGGACTATCCCATGGGGGCTACGCAAGCATAAATGAATCTTTAACCCACCTTGTTTGTTAAAAATCTAACTCGGATTAGTTATATAAACGATAAAAGACAGAATTAATCAATGTATTCTGTCAAAAATTTTGTATCATTCAAAAATTAATATGTAAGAAAAAACTAAAACATGAACACACTCATGTGATGTGTCAAAACGTAAAGCAAACAAATCTTATCTTCTGAGTATATACAACAGAATAAATAAAGTAAAATATGTAAGATAAAAACAACGAAGACATCAAGCCGAGAGTTGGTCTGTATTAGTTGAAATATGTTCATTATGTATAACCAGTATGAAAAATCTGATGCGAGGCAACAACAATAAAACAGTCTTCGTAATGAAACTTAGGAACGAAAAACATATCGGATGGAAACAATGAAAGCAACATGAATCAACAATAATTAGTAGAATAAAAACATGGCTGTGCAGCTAGATTTGACCAACAAGTTATTAACCGTACGTTGTTGATCAAGAGATACTAATTATCGATCTATATAGATTTCTTTGCAAATAAGATCGAAGCTATGTGAAAGCCAGTGACGAGATGCATTTTATTGCCTGCCCGTGCAGGGACGTCAAGTTTTGACGTCTCTTTGAACGGAGCAACTTTGACCGTATTTTTCTTTACATCAATCGAGTTAACATCGACGTTTTATATATCGTACAAAGAAGAGTTTGAGTAGTATAAGTGTTGCTACCCAAAATACTGTTCTACAATTTTTTACAAGCGCAGGCCAGCTGTCACAAAATGACACTTAGTATTTCGCCTCTGCTGAAGGCAAAACAAAACAAAAATTTGTTGCACTATAGATAAAACGAAGCTAAAGGGCTGCTTAATCCAATGAAAAAAGAATAAGGTCGATAATTGTCTTTCTCTTTGAGTACGAAGTCCATCTTCGAAAACCCTTTCTTACAAATAGCCAACTTTCAGGCCTTCCAGCACAAAAAGTGTTCAGTCGAATTTTTTTCTTTGTGTCTCATTTCTAGTACTCGTCGAGCTCTACAAAATGGAATCAAAGATATTTTTCGTCGTTTACATTCTCTTTTTTCGATCACAAAAGTCAAAAATATCGATTACTGTTTTCAGTATTTTGGCAAGACTTCTATTCTGATTTTGTTTCCAATTGAGCGCGAAGAAGTTCTAACGCTATATTTTGCCTTGACATTAGTCTAACGGGTGTTCCAGAATAAATCGGTCACTTAGTATTTTGCTCATATCTTAGTTGAATTGTATCCCCTAAGCTTTGTTGTTTTCTTAAAAGATGTGTCGTAAAATTCTCTACAAAAAATATATTAAACATTTTTCTATATACTGTAAAGATGAAAGAATATCGAAGAAATACTGCGAAGCTTCAATCTCGATTACTTTGCAACTCAAAAAACAATTTTTTCAATTTTAGTCCTTCATACTTTGTGAAACAAAAAACAAGAAGATGGCCATTTGATAGCCCTTGAAAAGCTCTATCAAGTGTCTATATTTAAAACGTTTCGTAATCATAATCGGTTGTGGAAGAATTTTATTTCTTTTATCGACTGTCGTCGACATCAACATTTACCAACTGTAGTTTTGGTGTAGTTAGAAAAACATTTATAACTCAATCAAAATCAAACACCTTTAGATAGGGTTTTCTTTATCTTAAAGTAAAATAATTCTTCTGTTAAGCTCAATATTTTCCTTTGTTTTCCTGTGTCACGACGAAAAAGACAAAATTTGCCCTTTTTTTGTTAGATTTTAGTACAATCATCTTTTGCGCCAGAAAAAACACGTTTAAGCCGAACCTATGATAGATGAAAAGAAAGACGACCCTTCAGAGCACCAGAACTTATGTTCATGATTCCACCTTTATGCATGACGCCATGCTCAAAAAATTTTTTCAAAAAATTTTTTTCATTGTTTCTTGAATTGCAAAGTAATCGAGATTGAAGCTTCGCATTATTTCTTCGATATTCTTTTATCTTTACGATATATAGAAAAATGTTTAATATATTTATTGTAGAGAATTTTACGACACATCTTTTAAGAAAACAACAAAGCTTAGGGGATACAATTCAACTAAGATATGAGCAAAATACTAAGTGACCGATTTATTCTGGAACACCCGTTA